GATGGATGGATGGATGGATGGATGGATGGATGGATGGATGGATGGATGGATGGATGGATGGATACTTTATAAATCCAGTAGCTGGGACCGAAGCATGCTGGATCTGTGCGGAGGATGGTCAGCATTGTACACGGTGGACAGCAGCTTACTGAGGGACCTTCTCTCTGCCACTGATGTAAGGGACAGCTCTGTTCCCAACACAGTAACAGCATTCCTCACCAGCCTGTTGTAGCCATGCATCTCTGCTCGTAATGCTGCCCCCCAACGCACTGCAGCACAGAAGAGGACACAGACTGGTAGAACATCYGCAGGAGCTTTTGGCAGCTACTGAAGGACCCAAGCCTCCTCAGGAATGAGAGTCTGCTGTGTCCTTTTCTGTAGAGGGGTGTCAATGTTAACTGACCAGTCCAGCCTGTCATCCAGTTGTATGCACAGGAAGTCCTGACCACCTCCATGTTAATCCCCCTCAACAGACATTGGCTCCAGGGTAAGGCCAGACCTTCTGGAGTCCACTAGCATTTCCTTTGACTTACTGATCTTCAGCTGCAGATGGATGGGTCGATTCTTAACCACACCACAAAGTCCTCAGCCAGACTCCTGTACTCCTCCTCCTGTCCACCTTGTACATGCCCCACAACTGCAGCGTCATCTGAGAACCTCTGCATGTGGCAAGACTGAGTTGTATTTGAAGTCAGATGTGTACAGGGCGAACAGGGCAGCAGGAGACAGCAGGCTYCTGTTGGAAATGCATTCCCTGATCCTGACACMTTGTGGTCTTTCAGTGAGGTAATCTGTGATACAGGTAATCAGAAGTGTGACCACCTTGGTCCACCTCCATCTTCTCAAGCTTGTCTTCTCAGTAGCAGGGGCTGGATTGTGCTGAAAGCACTGGAGAGGTAAAAAAACATGACCCTCACAGCACTGCATTAGGTGAGAGTGAGCCCTGTGTAGAAGATAGAGAATGGTGTCATCRACTCCCACCTTCTGCTGGTGTACAGAGGGTCTCCAGCATGGCAAACATGTCTAAGAAGGTTCAGCAGCAGTCGCTCCGGAGTCTTTATCACATTTAGCTCCTTATGTTGTGCTTTCTTGGGAAATGGGCTGAGAAAGGATGTCTTCCATGTGACAGGGACCCTCCTGAGACCCAGGCTCGGGCTGAAGACATGTTGGAGGGGCTCCCCCAGCTGGACAGCATGTGCCTTGAGCATCCGGGGGCACACCTCGTCCAGGCCTGCTGCCTTCCTGGGGTGGAACTTTGATTCTTTTAAGCATCAAAAAATGWGTTCGACATCCACCAGTTCAAGACAGTTAATTTTTAAAAAGAACTGAATCAGTTTGAAATAATTAAAAAACATCAAACTCATGAAACATTTCAGTGAGCCTGATCGTAGCGCTTACATTTCTATATCTTTTATAGATTTTTTTTAAATCAAAATTATATTTGTTAATTTATATTGTTGCCTGTCTTTCAT